CTGGTATCGATTGTACTGAGATGTACTGCCGATTTTCATGTAATATGTGATGGTCCCGAAGCGCCTTTCATAAGTTTTCTTTGTTTGCCTTTGGAATGACTTCTGTACAATAATATTCTGTACAAAACATGTGAGCCCTACTTAGGTCCTCGGAGATTTCTTTGTACAAAGTATTGTATATGTAATAAAGTCTGTGAGATGTTGTAAGCCGTACAGGTTCAGTTTTGGAAGAAACAGTGCCCACACCTCGTATCCCACAGAGGGGAAAGGCGTGGCCATGTACTTCATTTTAGCATGGCGTAGGAGTCGCTCTTCGTGGAAGATCTCCATTCGAGACAACGGTCATCCTGTATTCTTCTCTAATGTTGGCCAAAGGCATGATTACAGCGGTCCAAAAACAGTAGTATCCCACCATAGGCGTGGCCGTCGTCATGTTCATGAAGTGCGCAGCCCCCCCCCCCTCCATCCTCCCATCTCTGGGATACAGTATGTATCAGGTGTGACGTCAACCTTCATCCTATCCTTTTTTTTCTATTTTCAATTTTGCGAAACTTGTTGTTCTCTTTGTTGCTTGCCATAGCTGGTAACAATCAGTTCTTGCTAAGCAATAATATACTGCCGGCAAAGAACGCACTGTGGCGAGGCAACATGACTAACAAGGGAGGCGGTCGTTTGGCGCGATTCCATTGCAATTGACGTGTTTTGACAGGTATGGTAAGTCCCTACCAACTTGGATAACTTGTATGAATCACTAGACTATGAGGCTTTCGTAATTTGTAGTCTGCCAAAAACCGTCAGTGTGGGCTACAGTGCCCATGGTTCTCAGCCAAGCTTTCATCTAATGATTACTTAGGGGGAAAAAACTAATTTGGAACTATGGGCGAGTTGTCTCATCTGGAACACTATTCACCTGACACGTTTTGACGGGGAGGTGATAGGAAAATCGCGCCAAACGACATACACCCGACTAACAAGGGAGGTCTTTCAGGTCGTGGCGCGCTTTTTGGAAATGGTTTGTTGCTTGTTGTAGGGGTCCATACAAGGATCACAAAATGGGTTTCATTTTTGCTATGCGTTTCTGGGGAGGTCAAAAACTGAGTGAAAAGAATTTGACAAGAATGGGCGATTTTAACTATCTTAATGGGCTCCGTTCTGATTGTAACTTCAACTAAGAGGTGCTCGTTAATTAAGCTGAAAATTGTTTTGAATAAAAAGGATCCGATCCTCAAAGTCTCGTGTCGCCCCATCCGAGAATCCATCGAGTTATCCGCTGCGCCATCCGATCGACAGTGAGCATGAGGGGACCGCTGACAAAAACATCACTGTTGCGTCGGTGCATGCCAAGTGTGTTACTACATGATACTTACATTTTGACTTTATTTAAAACTATTTTCGAAGCCTAATTAACGAGCACCTCATAAACTATGCATGCTCGAAGTTACAATCAGAACGGAGCCCATAATAGTTAAAATCGCCCATTCTTGTCAAATTCTTTTCACTCAGTTTTTGACCTCCCCAGAAACGCATAGCAAAAATGAAACCCATTTTTGTGATCCTTGTATGGACCCCTACAACAAGCAACAAACCATTTCCAAAAAGCGCGCCACGACCTGAAAGACCTCCCTTGTAAGTACGCAGTCGCGGGCCTTTCGTTGTCTACACATGGAATAACTTCAGAAAAGCCACCAGATTAACCAGGAGCACCGAACACCGCCTTGGGTAGAGGGCGCAATGCGCTTCGAGTGTGTAGACCGCGTTCAGACTTCGCGATCGGATCGCTCGAACGATTCTATGGCGCGACTACGGCGGGGGGCAGGACCTCCTCCGCTAAACGGTGCACCGCCG